GGGGGGGGGGGGGGGGGGGCTCACATCAAAATATTTTAGTTTCGATCAAGATAAATGCCTATATAGTAATTATTTCATATCTAAAGTTTGTGGTTGGGGGATCAGGGTTAGCTCATATTGAAAGCATTTTGTGCATTTGAGCTTTATTATTCACTTGCGAAAGGCTTAAGCCCTATTAGTTATAATGCTTTAATTACAAGATCTTTGCGACTCATTTGCTCAACCGAAGGTTGTAGTTTCCCTCTTGTCAAAAGGATATAAATCCTTTTCCAGTTACGTAGCAGTAGTGCATCACTAGGCCATGTTTTCTAGAGATAGATACAGCCAAGAGAGACTGTTCTGTCAGGATCATTTACCTTTATTCTTCTTCACAATTGCCTGGACTCTTTTTTATCGCAGCAAGATTGTTTTTTTTTTTTTTTTTTGAAATTATAGGAACACTGGCTTATGGTTCACTTTCTATGATACTAGGCAAGGGAAAAAATAGCAAGAAAGTTAAGAAAGAACCCAGCAGAGAGGAGATGCATGAAGTTGTAGTTAATATTCTGAAGCAAGTTGATTTCAATACCGTAAGTACAAGAATTTGGTCAGATCGGATTCGTTATGAGTTGTTCTAAATTAAGTTATTGTTTATTCATAATTACTTTCCTTCTGTCACGTGCAGGCAACTTTGTCTGACATTCTCAGGCAACTTGGTATGTATCTCCTTGTAATATTCACACACACACGTACACAGGACTGCCGGAATACTCGTGAAAGATATTGCTTGTTGATTTTGCTGACTTGGCCACTGTTTGTAATAGGTACCCACTTTGGTGTGGATTTAATGCATAGGAAAGCAGAGGTGAAGGATATTATCACAGATGTGATAAATAACATGAGTGATGAAGAAGAGGAAGCTGATGATGATGGTGGTGAGGATACGGATAAAGAGGAGGACAAAGATGGGGATGCTTAACTTGTTTAATAAATCCATACTTTTCCGTAGCCCTGACCGAAGATCATAGAACGCAATCCTGAATGATCATCTCTTCATGATCTCAATCAGCGGTTTGATTGTTGAAGTACATGTCTAGATATCTCTGGCTCGGTCTGTATAATGTATCTTATAGATTTAAGATTTTTAGTAACTTGTTAGCCTAGACCCATTTTTTCCCTTCCCCCGCAAACTAATTGTATTTTAGTCCTCTCCCTAGACAAGTAGCTAGTTGATTACATCTTATCGATGGAATGAGGTTTAAAATATTAGAATTCAGAGATGATTATGGCGAATTCCTCCATCTTGGTTGCGCTCTATCATCGTACAATTGGCTTTAATGTCTATTTGTTTTTATAATAATCAGGGTTGAAGGAGATGTAATGTATCTTGTGCTCTTAAATCCAATGTCAGAACTCAGAAAAGGTCATTTGGTGTAGCTGGCATACAAATTCTTACATACTCAAAATTTTATTGGAACTTCTGTGACAATTTATTTTGGCTAGTTACTGGCGGTTCTCAATGTACCAACTTCTTTTGCAGATTAAAAAAAAAGATTTTTTTATTTTTATTTTAGTACTTGTTGAAGTGTTTAATTATGTTGACTGTGTGGCATGTGGAAGCTGAAGCAGACTGCTTGTCCATTACTAATCCCTTGCTAGGCGTCTCACCATGTCGCAGAAGCAGACGGCTCCGTTGATTGGAAAGTGGGAACATTGGAGATATTACCAAGCCTGAACCCGACGGCGACACAGTCTTGGCAAGCTGGTTTTTGACATCCCTGGCGCTACTAACATACTTCGAGACGCTCCCTCTTGTTTCACAGGTTTCCCGACAATTCCTTCCTTTTGTTAAGGTTAAATGGTGCTATACTATTGTCCATTTAAGGCATATCTCCTTTGTGATTTTGTTTTTGGTTTCAATCAAAATATACCTCGTTATTCATTTTCTGGTTTACTATCATGATCACGTTTGTTTACTGCTCTTGAAATCCCACGAGGATAGTCGTTAATCTTGCAATAATGTCTCTCTCAGGTGACTAAGTATAAATGTGGTCTGTTCGAAGTTGGGCTGTGCGTGAGCCACAGTGCTGTTGATGGGATCGGGGCTATGGAGTTAGTGAATTCGTAGGGTGAAACGCAAGGCCCCTTTGATTGCCCCCCTGTTTCTAGATAGAACCATTCTCAAAGCTCGAGACCCTCCCCTCATCGAGTTTCGGCACCATGAATTTGCTGAGATAGAAGATATGTCGTCAAACATTTGCAAGCTTCATGGAGAGGAGATGCTTCAGGCCCTCCTGTTTGGAGCCAGAGAAGCTGAATAAACTCAAAATGGAAGGGTTGGAAGATGGGGTATTGAAGGGCTGCACCCAAGTAAACTCACTGTGTAGCGCCGATGAGCTTCTGGAAAAGCCACAGTCGTATCAGGAGTGGGGATGGTTAAGAAAGCGGTGAAGATGATCACAGACGGCTACATGATAAAGAAAAAAAAAAGGGGGGAACGCAGATTTGAGAGAGTCGATGAAGATGACATGATCTAGTACTACTACTCGGTTGCATTGTGATGGACAGAAAGCCTATCATCTTGAATGGAACTGGCGATAGTACATTTTTTTAGTAAGGTTTCGACTTACATCTCTTCTAAAAGAGAGGTACACGTCTAATTATTCAACTACTAGAGTTCACACAGAATTGGTTTTTCTGGGAAGAAATAAACGTTTCTTTACTAGAGTTCACCATTTGTTTATTATTAACTTAATTAACGTATTAGTTTAAACCAAGAGAAGGGTAAGTAACCTACAAAATCCCATCGAAATGAAAAACAAACAGGATTGAGGACTACAAATTTCAATCAAAATCTCATTACTTTTGTTTGAAGTTGTCTCCAAGATCATATTAGATACACGTTTCGTCCTTCATTACACTTACCAAAAAGTCAATCTTTTTTGTTAACAAAATTTTGTAGGAAAATCAATCATGTTTCTTGGGGAAGGGAGAGAGGGAGCTCCAAGTAAACAGAGTTTGGACGCCAACTCTCACCAACTAGGTGGAAGAGCGGTGGCATCCCGTATCGACCCGACCTGACTTGGTCCTCTCGCATCATCAACCATTCAGAATGAAACAAAACGCAGTGCACGACTCAAATTAGGCACAACTTCCAACCACCCTCACTCTGCCTCTCTACCATCTGCTTTATATACATATACAACATCAACGCCCTGCCACTACTATCATCTTTCTAACCCTTTTCATTTCAGGTAAACACGTGATTTATATTTCTCCTTGCAAATCGTGTTGTTTCTAACACATTCTGCATCCCATTGTTATGACTGTTTCTCATTCGTTCTCCATTCTTTCGTTTCATCCATAATTTCAACTCCTCCATCTTTTTTTTTGTGTATTTGAATTTTGGGTCAGATATCGAATCAGATGGCTGGCAGTGGTAAAAGGGGTTCTCAACTCGACGTTGAGCAGCAGAAACCTACTCTGATCACCCCAGCAGAGGAGACACCAAAGGTTCTCTACTTCCTATCAAACCTTGACCAGAATATTGCAGTCATCGTCCGCACCATTTACTGCTTTAAATCAGAGTCCAGAGGCAACGAAGATGCTGCCCAAGTCATTAAAGATGCTCTTTCCAAGGTGCTTGTCCATTACTACCCCCTTGCAGGGCGGCTCGCCGTCAGCTCAGACAGGAAGCTTATTGTGGACTGTACGGCGGAGGGTGCTGTCTTTGTGGAGGCTGAAGCCGACTGTTCCATTGAAGACATTGGTGATATAACAAAGCCTGATCCTGACACTCTTGGGAAGCTTGTCTATGACATCCCTGGCGCTACCAACATACTTCAGATGCCTCCTCTTGTTGCCCAGGTTTCACGAATACCTCTCTCTATGGACTGTGGTTAATTCAGTTTCACAGCAGCCTGATTTAACGTTGGCTTGGATGGTTGTTAATTAATTCACAGGTGACTAAATTTAAATGTGGTGGATTCGTTGTGGGGCTGTGTATGAATCATTGTATGTTTGATGGGATTGGGGCAATGGAATTTGTGAATTCGTGGGGTGAAACGGCAAGGGGCTTTCCTTTGACCGTGCCGCCGTTTCTGGATAGAAGCCTTCTCAAAGCACGAGAGCCGCCGATGATCGAGTTTCCTCACAGCGAATTCGCTGAGATAGAAGATGTGTCGAACACTTGGAAGCTTTATGGAGATGAGGAAATGCATTATCGGTCCTTCTGCTTCGAGCCGGAGAAGCTCAGTAAGCTCAAACAGAAAGCGTTGGAAGATGGGGTTTTGAAGAGCTGCACCACGTTCGAAGCCCTGTCGGGATTTGTTTGGAGAGCAAGAACAGAGGCTCTACGAATGCAACCCGATCAACAAACAAAGCTCCTCTTCGCCGTCGACGGAAGGTCTAGATTTCAGCCCCCAGTACCGAAAGGGTATTCTGGAAACGCCATCGTTTTAACCAACTCACTATGCAGCGCCGGCGAGCTTCTGGAAAACCCTCTGTCTTTTGGGGTGGGGCTGGTTCAGAAGGCAGTGGAGATGATCACAGACAGCTACATGAGGTCCGCCATCGATTACTTCGAAACGACGAGAGCAAGGCCGTCGCTGGCGGCGACTTTGTTGATCACGACCTGGTCGAGGCTGGGGTTCCACACGACGGACTTCGGGTGGGGGGAGCCGGTGTTTTCAGGGCCGGTGGCGTTGCCGGAGAAAGAGGTTATTCTGTTCCTATCTCATGGGAAAGAAAGAAAGAGCATAAATGTTCTTCTGGGCCTTCCAGCTTCTGCCATGGAAATCTTCCAACAGGCCATGCAAATCTGAAAGGACAAAAATACAAAATGAGGAGGAAATTCCATCTTTATTATTCATCCCAATGTGTTGTTTTCATCCAATTCCAATTCCATTTTTATTCCTATTTCATGTGATTACCCACATATTCTTCTGTCAATTAATAGATTGTTCTCCCTGTTGTTACGTCAATAAAGTTTTAATATATTGAGGTATTGTCATTTTGTATTTTAGATTTTCATTTCCTATTAATAGAGGAATATTTAATATATATATATATATATATATATTTTAAAAATTTGAATCTACAAAATGGTAGTAAAAACAGGATTACCCATAAACTACTTCATCATAATAAAGTTAGTTTAAATAGGGAGATTAATAGTCTAATTTTTATTTTTTTTATACCCAATAATATTATGAACAATTATTGGAATTAAATGAATGAATAGTCTTATTTTTTATATTTTTTATTAGGGAGTTGAACAATGTTACACTAGAATAATTATAACTCATTTATAGTCTAAAATTATTAAAGTTTAAATGGACCGCTATTTACTTTTAAAATAATTTCACCATATTCAATGACTACATCTAAGTCGTGAATTTTGAGGGACACACGTCAAAGCTATAAAGAAAGGTATGTAAATGTAAACGAACCCGCCATGTAGAAGGGCCTTTCACACTTCCTTCGGCTGCAGTTTCCCGCCACTGTTGATTCCCCCCGCCGAATCCTCTGTTCAAACAGATGCATCTATCTCTAAGACCGAAGGCATTGCCATGTTATCTCTGCATGCACCCATGAAAGCTAGTGTTAAGCAGGAAGTTATTGAACCTATACGCACGCTAAGAATGAGCAACAATCACGAGGCATCAAATGCGTTTCCCTAGTTTATTGATATCAGTTGTGACAGCGAGTCAGATTCGGAGGTGTGAGCAGTTGACGGAATTCTTGGAGGAGTTACGAGAAGCGTCCGACTCCCGAACGACGTGGATGGAGGGTTTTCGAAGAAGAGGAGGCTGAAGGAGTTAGAAGTTGTTTTACCTCATGGTTTTCTTCCGCCCGCGGCGCTGGACGAAAAGCATTCAGTGGCGGTTCTTTTGCCCCCGTCAACAGAGGCGGGTACTGAACAAGAGACGAGGACTTCGAACGCAAATGCTTCTGCCGGCAAACAGTTTCTGGAAGGCAGGAGACTATGAAGGAGCTCATTGGAATAGATGGGACTCATCAACGTATGTCTTAGTGCCATGCTTCCCACATCGAGTCCCTTCATTCCAAAAAGGTTTAAAAGTTGCTCAAAGTTTATGATTGCGGATGGCTATGATTCTCCCATGTAATCTCGAATTTCCACGACCGAATACATTCTCCAATGAAGCCAAAAGTTTTAGGGGATACATAGGTCCCTTTTTCTGAATTTATGGGCGTACCATTCACTCGAAATGCCTCCTCTTTTGGACAATTTGGTGGATCATTGATAGTCAAAATTCAATCCATGTCGACTCATCAAGTATTTTAATGGAGGTTTGACACGTATGGCATGCCAAATAAACAATTCAAGGCTGGCTGACCAGTTTAGGATGTGATCATTTAAAAGTAAAATTGCAGAAAGAAAAACCCTTTCAAAGAAGTTTCAAATTGAAAAGGAATACACACAAAATTTACAAACGATGAGAACGCATCAGATTCCTTTTATAAATAGAAAATTTCCCATTCTACTACCTTCACAAGGACGACGATTAATCATAATTAGGATACTGCTAGTAAAGTATTCATAGAACCTTATCAACTTAAATATAGCCCTCTTCTTTTAGCTGCAAATCCTCAAATAAGAGAGTAACCAAAGAATTTTGAAAAATCATGAGAAAAACTTCACAATCATATAAAAGAGAAACATGTCCCCCACATCAATATTCCTAAACACATCATTACCAAATTACCAGAAAACATTTATACACAAGAATATGGCTAATAGAAACCTTGTTTTGGAAGATGATTTACCAAACGAATCATATGACTGGTGTTGTGTTTCAAAGTATGGAACAGGAGCAGACGATCTTCTGTTGTGAATTGTCAGTCTTTTTCTCTGTACCATCAACATATCGAAGTAAATATTTCATAGAACAGCAAAAAATACCAGACTCATAAAAACAAATTCGATCAACGGCCACAAGTTGTCCAAGGTTATGATTTAAGGACCACATTCAAGTTTGACTAGAGAAACACTGCAGTCAAATAAAATTGAATTAAAACAAGTAAAACTTAGCACATTCTATTGGAGGGTGGAAGGAGTGCCAGCGAGGACGCTAGGCCCCGAAGGGGATGGATTTTGAGATCCCACATTGGTTGGAGAAGGGAACGAAACATTTTTTATAAGAGTGTGGAAACCTCTCCCTAGCATGATGCATTAATGCATTATAAAAACCTTAAGGGAGAGATTTGCAAGAGGTGATCTTAGGCTGTTACAATTCGAAGATTTGAGATTTTTGGATTTTTATTGGCCCTTACAACAAGTTCTTTCTTCTCTAGCTTATTTTATATTTTCCAATGATTAGTAGAAGATGAAAAGGAAAAAAAATAAATGATAGGAAAACAATGAAGAGGGAAGAAGAAGCAAGAGTAAAGAAAAGGGAAAAATCATGAGAATACAAAGAGTGGTTAAGGGTATATATCTGAATCCTCAGTCAAGGGTTATACAAGAGCATCTTAGCTTTAGAGAGGTAGAACGATGTATGTTTTCATATTTAGGCCAGCCACTCAACAAATCCCTTTGTTCCTGCGCAGACATTCCTCAACAGAAGAATAGGAAGAAGACTATTGTTCACACATTTACAACAAACCTTAAACTTCATCCAACATCTGTACTATATAGTAATTTTCCATTAGATTTCCAAGGTGATTAGTTAAATTTGCGGGGTTGACAAGAAATTTTATCTTCACTGACAGAGAAGAATAATAGCCCAGCTAATCCCCTAGAAAATGTATATCTCCAGCTCTTTTATACTCGCAAGTGTTTGGGCCAGCTTGTAAACATCTCGACCATTCTCACGGCACAATTGCCTACCTTACTACATTTGTTTACCAGGGTAACTAGTAGGAAATTACATGTAGCTTGAATCCATTCTCTTTAAGCTTTTCATTATTTACACTGTCCAACCCATGGCCAACCATGGATTACTTCTCACTGCATACTTTGTAAGGGAGTAATAGTCAATAAGATGATCATACGGCTCTAACTTTGTGAAATGGATACAACCTGCTAGCATATCCTAACCACCCAAAGAGGGGACTAGAACACCCTTCTTCATCTAAAAGCCACAAACAATAGTTGAGGACAGGATAGAGAAAAAAAGGGATAAAATCTGGAGAAGAAATAAATGAAGAAAGAAGGTTCTCTAAGAGGCTCATGATAAACTCATGGGACTGCATGCTAAGATTCGGCTTTCTCGTTAGCACAGTTCGAGTTACAACTCAAAAGTACTAGTCAAAACTCACTGAAAGCAGAATAAGGATTTTGAAATTGTTATATCCCATTAACTCCAGGGAGTGTAACAAAAATGGTTGTTTAGAATTAGAATCAGATGAGCATTTTCCTAAGTTCAAGCCAAAAAACCAACAATTTGATGACTGTATCAGTTGAGAATGCGATTCCAACTCCTAAGACCACAATTATATAGACTTGTCGTATAAATCCAGAGTACGTGAAAAACTATGGGGCATTGGAGAAAGGGGGAAAGAAAACAATACTGAAGTAGAATTATAAAGGGAACAATCAATGACCAAGAAAATTATATTTATAGATAAAACCTCAAAGGAAATCACCTGTCTTAGCTTTCGCTAGGGATGGCTGTACAACAACATGCATTATGGTGACTCCTCCCGTGGACTCACCAAAAGGTAATTTACACTGACCAACAGTCTTGTTATTTTCCAAAATTTTTCCAGAACTTATCAGTTTTACTTCATTGGCTGCCTTCGGAGTGATTGTTTTGCCTAAAAACGAAAAAGAAAAAAAGAAAAATCATCCGAAAAGGGGAAAAAAAATCAGTATGAAAACAAAAGCAGAGAAAAGAAAAATGATAATTCGTCCAGTGAACGAAGACAATTCTTAAGAAACCGAAAACACAGGCATGAGTTCCTAACAGTAAAACGGCACACAACAAAAGATTCAATGTGCGTCCTCCGAATGACCGCGTAAATCAAGAATAACAAAACGACGTATAAACATCTGCCAAGAATAAAATATTGTCCTAAAAATAGCTCTGTTAAGCTAGTAGACTATAGTATTAAAAAAGAAGGATTGACTAACTATAGAACATGCAATATTAACGCCCGAAATTCACATACGCGTTTGCAGGGAAAAAGCATATATATATATAAAAAAAAAAGCCGATTGCAAATTGAGTACTCATAGCTGAAAAGATTAGGGAGAAGCTGAAGAGTTAATTTCGAACCTTTGGGCCAATCGGACACTATTCTCTGCTTGAGCACATCTATTGTCGATGCGGACGAGTATCGAAAGGGTCCAATATCAGAACCATCGTAGAGCCTGAACTTAATGTCAATAAAATCGTCCTCCGGCATCTGAGTTGAGTATCCTCAAATCAGGTACAAGTGTTGGATCCCGACCTTGAATTGATCGGATGCCCTAGAAGGAATTGAAAGCAATTCCAACAGCAACGAAGCTGGAGCAATTACAAGTGCGAACACCATGAAAGATCCGAAAAGGAGAGTAATTGTGGATGAAGTGGAGAAAAAACGAGAATTAAGAGGAGAGAAGAGACCTTGTGAAGGCGTCGATCAGGCCAAGGCAGTTTTTCCTCCCGGCTGCAGGCTTTTTGGGAAGAAGAATATTAATCCAATGTGTATATTTCTTTCTCGAATTATGAATTTATAAATATTATTGAAGTTGTTGAAGTGAGGAAGAAGCCAAACTAAGCGCCCGCGAAGGCACAACTCCAAGGCAGACCGATTCCAAAATCGACGCGGTCTTGACTTTATGTCACGTCAGTTACCTGTGCTTATCTCGGCTCGGTTCGGTTCGGTTCGGTTCGAAATTTTTATGACGTCGCAGGGTTCAGCATCCATACGCTGTCGTTTCACCGTCTATCCTCTCCTCTCTTCGGTCTGACTGTGAGTATGGCTTCCGTAGAACAGCTGAATAATGACGAGCAAGAGGAAAAGGAAGAAGAAAGCATGGGAGTGGGAGAGATCGTATGGCAAACCCCTGCCAACCCCCCACAACGAAGCGATTATATATTTCACAATGGTACAGACTATAAGCCCTCTTCTGTGGGCCTTTCTTTTCGTTTTACTTTCCATTTTTTGTTTTAATCAGAGTTCTTTGATTAGGGAGACGGCACGTTAGACCTTACTACTTCGAGTTCATTGCTCACGTAAGACCTTAAACTTTCATAAATGTTCGACTATTGAATCTAATTTCAAACTCTTGATTGGAAGTTCATAGCTGCAAATTGCAGGTTAAGAATCGATGGGCCGGCAAAACCATCGTCGACTTGTTTGCTGAAGAGTTCAAAGGCCGACCTTACGAGTATTTTGTAAGTTTTTTCCTTTCCGTTTTTCCTCTATGATGTGGTCATTTAGTTTCAGCTTTTGTCAGTTATTGTTTTGTTGGTATCAAAATATGGAGTTCTAATATGCACTGAATATGATTCTCATGCCCTTGTACATTTTTCCTTGTTTTCATGCCTTACTGCTTGGAACTTTATTTCTTAGGTTGATGCAGTCAAATGTGGTCGCATACAAGTGGATGGGGAGATGGTGCCTGTATCATATATAGTTAAATCATCTCAAAAGATAAGTCATTTCCTGCACAGGTATGTGTTCTACACGTTGTAATAGGATTTTTAAGGCTTATGGTTCCCGATTGGTATAATTACGTCCAACTCTGTGAGTAGCCTGGATGTAATTCTCTTGAATTTACATTTGTTTCTCGAATTCATTTTCTTTATGTCAAAGCTGCACTATAAAGTTATCAAACTTGTAATAGATTTTCTACGGGCTGTAGGCATGAACCCCCGGTGATGGCTTGGGACGTGAAAATTCTCAAAGAAGAAGCAGAAGTGCTGACGGTTTGCAAGCCTGCATCTGTTCCGGTGAGTCAGATTGATAGTATGAACTTCGTATAACGTCGTTAGTCATGCAAGTTGTGCAATACATTTCTGTAAACATTTGAGTCTTAGTGAACGGATTCCTCGTCTGTTGTTTTTTTTTACCCGTACTTTAGGTTCCTCTAACTAGCAAGCTCGAATGTAATATAGGTTCATCCATGTGGTCAATATAGGAAGAACACAGTTGTCGGTATACTTCAGGCAGAGCACGGTTTGGCACCTCTATTTCGTATCCAACTTCCATGTCCTTCTAGAAGCTATTGTTCTCTTATTTAGTTCTGTTATATTGATAGTGGAGAAAACACTTTTAACATACTCTATCCACTGACTTGAGGAGCAATCCCCTTCTTCCCTTGACATGACCATGTTAGCTATACATCGACTAGACCGTCTTGTCTCTGGACTTCTTATCCTTGCTAGAAACGCATCCAAAGCTGACCTTTTCAGACAACAGGTATGCTTTGTACTTAAGATTTTTCATTTAGTTATATCGTAAATGACTGGGAGATCCATTGTCATGGAATTTTTATGAGGTGCATTCTTCTCAAACATTTTATTCGAACATGTACTCTCACTACTATGTTGTCGCACGTACTCCATTTTCAGATTGTTGCAATTGGACAAAAATTAGAAGGAAAATTAACTTTAGCACAAATGAATTAGTTAAGGAATTATAACTTCCACAAAAAAATCACAAGTTCAGATTCCCACCTCGGCACTTGGACTTTCGAGCGAAACTAAATTGTAGTTGTTATGATGATTGAATGTAAAAATTTATTAGAGAGAATTTGAAAGAAACACAGTTACAATTATAAATCAACTTTCCCAGTAGTAATCTTGCCCTGTTTCACTGTGTATAGTTAAATTCAATTTGTCATTGATTTCTCGTCCTCTTCTGCCCATGCACAAACTAGGAACTGAAGAAACTTATATTAATAGGAATGTATGCATACTGCAGATTGAGTCTGGGCTGGTGAAGAAACAGTATCTTGCGAAGGTAGTGGGTGTATTTCCAGAAGAAGAGGTATTTCTTCTTTGGGCTAGTCAAGTCATGTTATTTTCTTCTGTCTTGAATTATTTATCAAATTGTTCCTTCGAATGCAACTAAACGTAAGGGTTACTTTTAGATTCTTCTTGTAACAATCTCTTTTGATAAAGGGTAATTTAGAATGTTGACAATGTCGAGTCTACATTCCAGAAGGGACCCGTGGTTGTCTTGTCCTGACTTGCTAGCTATAGGCGTGTGCATGAATGTCTGCTTGTGGCTTGTGCTTCTTATAGACATGTGGGGCTAGTACAGTATGAGATGAATCCTTTTTTACACTACAGGGAAATAAATTTGTTTCAAAATCTTCTTCACCTTCAAGGATAATACCAATCTGGAGCACTGTGGTTTTTTTTTTTTTTTTTAATGTTTAGTGAAGTCACCTCATAATGTTGCTCTTCTATTTCTATTAGGCATCTCTGATTATCTGCTTCATTTTACCTGGACTTAATTTCAGCAAGTGGTTGATGTTAACATAAATTACAATGCTCGAGAGGGAAAAAGCACAGCGGAGGTGAGGCTTTATTTTCTTCCTTTGTCCAGTGAACTTCAGTTACTTAATAAGAGGAAGTGGATGTTAAGGAAGGAATTTACTTTTCTGGCAACAGAATATTGTAGAAGAGTCAAAAATTGTACTTACAAGTTAAGCAATTGAACTAACATGTTTGTGTCTAATATGTTCTAAAAACCTTTCAAAGTATATAATAGTTTCTTGAACTTTTAGTTTTATATTTGATCCCTAAATTTCAATCTTGTGTTTGATAGGTGTGTAACATATTCAACGTTTTTTTTTTAATTAACAAATTTGTTAGTATAAATAGAATTTTATATGCAATAAGACATTAAACTTTCAACTTTGTGTCTAATAGATTTGTAAATTTCTAAAAAGGTAGAATAGGTTAATAACTTGTTAGACACAGAAATTGAAATTTTATGAAATTATTGCATACTTCTCAAAGTTTAGATACTTACTTTATGGACATATTTAACGGTCTCTAAATGCTGGGCCTATTTGAGACCAACTATGGACCGATCTTGTAATTTAGCCTTAGAATAAAGATGGGAATTTACTTTGTAGGGAATGGCTATGTTTTCATAAAATAAGTCTGCAAAAGCCCATTAACCATCCATTTACTCTCTCTCTCTCTCTCTCTCTCTCTGTCACTAAGGACGACTGTTTGCAATTCCATAACCATAGTATTAACATGGATAAAGTTTGTGGGAGATATGTTGCTCCGTTGTCTGGTAGTTTGGAGTCCTCTTGACTGGAAGCATCTTGGTCTGAATTTAGTATGTCACTTGATATCGATACTACAGAGTTGATTCTTGCAGGATACTCCAACAAAGGGGAAGGCTGCTCAAACAAAGTTTACCCGCGTATGTTCCGATGGAGTCCATAGCATTGTTTTATGCGAACCGATCACTGGCCGAACTCATCAAGTAAAATTTAAATCTTGACTTGTTGAAAACATTTTGCATGAGACCCCCACCCTCAAGGACATTTCGTATGTTTAAGTGATCCATGTATACTCCCACTTCCTTTTGATGTTAATATCAGTGTCTTGTGGTATACCTGCAATGCAGATCCGTGTGCATTTGCAGTATACAGGGTATCCTATAGCCAACGATGCACTGTACCTTACAAAAGAAACGTCTGGTCGTTCCGTGCAAAAAACAACTGCAGATGGGGCTGCTGCAATATCAGCCTGTTCTCGGGCACGTGATATTCAAGAAGATTGTGTTCATGCACGCAATGAAAAATCAAATGAAGATTTTAGAATTGATCCCATGTGTACAAACTGTCCAAATTTGGCTCCAAAGGGGTGAGAAACTTTGATCCCATTGGAAGCTTTGCTGGTTTGTTTCCACTCGAAACGTAATAGGGTCCATGATTAACGCATTAAACATGCTTTGTTTTGTGCAGATACGACCGGGAAGAAGAGGGCTTGTGGCTACATTGTGTTCAGTACTCCGGACCGGGATGGATCTACGAATGCCCATATCCAGAATGGGCTTCACTTAAATAGCATTTTTTAAGGACTTGTTAGACACAAAACTTGAAGTTCGGGATGGTATGTTAAAAGTTATGTCATGTATTGACACAAATTTAAATGACTAAATGCGTGATTTCACCCAAATTGTGTAAATAAAATGTAAGTGAATAGAAGTCATGAGAGAAAACACAGTAGATGGGTGAGAAAATTTGTAGGTAAGGTAAAAGGGAGAAGGTAGGGAAAGAAGAGAGTGTTTGAAGAATAATTAGGGGAAAAGTAGGTGACGAGGGATTAAAACATAATATATCTATTTTATTCATTGAAATTGGGAGAGATAAAAAGCGTGTGAGATATGATAGGTCTTTGTTGGGGGAATGCAGTGATGGTTGGATTGCATGTGCCCTAATATGGAGGATGAGTGAGTGTCAGAATGTTTTATGGGCCATCTTCTCTTCTATTGCCCTACAACTGTTCAAATGGATGGTGTCATCCTCTCCTATATTATTTTTCAATTTTTTAATTACGCCTACACACAGCTGTACGTTTGCAGTACGACCTAACTGCCTACGTGGCACAACCATCCATCTGGAAATTGTTTTCTTTTTCTTTTCTAAATCCATAAAAATTAAGACCAGAAGAGGACAAGATGTCCTTCACAAATGGCTGCAATATGGAGAGAGAGGCTACGGAACATGTACTTAAATCTTTTCTTTCT